AGAAGAAATATTTGACCATGTATGATTATGCGAAGTTGCCGAGAAAATGGTGTTGAAAAAAAAATATATATATATATATATATATATATATATATATATATATATTGCACTCTTTATGTATATATATATATATATATGTATATATATTGCACTCTATATGTATATATATTACCTAGTGCGGTTTTAATTTGTTGGATTGTTATGTAAAATAGTACCTAGTTTTTTAAAAGTAGTTCATGTCTATATCTACTGATTAATTATGCAATTTGTTTTTGCAAAAAAAATATGAAAAAAGAAATGTTAAATGGTGATATATGTGAATTATTGGTAAATTTTTTGAAAACAGCTCCGCTTTTAAGTTCTTCATTTAAGGTATATATATGGAAGAATTTTTTTATATAATTAATATTATAGTGAACTACAGTATTATATGTTTTGTTTTTATGACAATATATATATATATAATCATTTATTAAGAAGATTACCATAGTAATTGAATTTATTAATCATTTAAAACAATCTTCATAATTTGAAATCAGTTAAATCATTGGGTATTTTTTTTACAGTCTCAGTTGTCATATAACAAGTACAGGGTAGCAAAGCAATTTTGATATGGTAACTTCCTTGTCTTTCTATCATAATTAAAATCTAATTATTTGTAGTACGAAGTTCTCTCTTTCAACAACATGAAAATAAACCAAATTATCACACTTATATTCACAAGGCTTGATCTCTCAAGCTATAATATCTCTTCCCCCATTTTCTTATAGTATACAATATTGCTTCTTTCTTCCTGATATTTTTCTTAAAGATTGATAAAGAGAGTAATTAAGATGATGGTGTGTGTGTTTTTTTTTGTTTTTTTTACAATGTAAAGCGATTGGACAACAAAATCATTGGTTACTATATATTATCTAACCTTGTGAAGCAAGTTGTTTATGTTATAAATTTTGCCAACTCTAATTTGACACTTATAGTATATATATATATGTTATAAATATTTATTATCTTACGTATGTGCTATTGTTTCTCACTGCACCAAAATAATTGGTTCCAAAACTATAGAAACAATATCATCAAATAACCATTTTAGTTAATTATATAAAAAATTGATTTATAAATTGCTGACTCAGCAAAATCTTGGATATGTTTTTGATATTGACCATAACCTAATTCTTAAATTTGTCTAAATCCAGATTATTTGCATCCAGTTTTAGCTTGATTTTCTATTCGCACATATTTTGACATTAGACAACCTCATTATAAATTTTAAAAATAATTTAATTATAAAAATAAAATATTTTTAGACTTTAGATGAGGACTGTTAATTTGAAGAGAGAATTCTTTTTTAACGTGGAGAGAGAGAGAGAGAGATGTCATCTTAGATCACATAAGACGCAAGAGAATTTTAATAGAAACACGTATTTATCCAGAGGGATCATACATTCATACTTGGCTACTTCATAAAGATAGCTAGATCTTAAGATAAGTAGATATAATAATAAACATGAGTCTTCATTATTATTCATAAAATCTTAAGTTACCTAGCTCACCAATTAAACCTCAAGCAAACTCACCATATATACCAACATAACAAAGTTTAGGCATCGTTGCTATCGCCACCGTCACTACCTTCTTTGACAAAATAGTCACCGAGACATCGACATTGACCACAACCTAAAATCTTAATTTTTCTAAATTCAGATTATTTGCATCCAGTTTTAGCTTGATTTCTAATCGCACGTATTATGACATTAGAAAACCTCATTATAATTTTTTTAAAATTTTAATTATAAAAATAAATTACTTAGACTTTAAATGGGGTATGCTAATTTAAAAAGATAATTGTTTTTCATGAGAGAGAGAGAGAGAGATAATTTTAAAATATAGATTTTATTATTATTATTATTATTATTTAATTGATTATATGTAAAAAGTGAAAGAAAGAGACATCACAAATACAAATTTAAGTGGATACAAATAAGAAAAGAGATTTTAATTATATGATCATATAAAATTGCATATATTCATAAAATTTTCTCCTCTCTCTTCCCTTTTCTCTCCCCCTCCCTCTTCTCCTTCGTGACTAGTATGAGTATCCAAAATTGCATAGGTTTTCGGGTTTGGGTGATCGTAATTTTTGTAGTTTTTAGGTTTTAGTAAGGGTTTCCAAGTTTGGGTGATCGTATTTACAGCATTTTTTTGGGTATTTTTTGTAGTTTTTAGGTTTGGGTGATCGTATTTACAGCATTTTTTTGATTTTTTAGAAGAATTTTTTTTTTTTTTTGGTCAATGCCTTAAGAGAATAAGGTAACCAATCGCAGGCCGCCACGTGGGGCCCAGAAATAGTAAAATACCAAGGCAGAGGACGTCCCTCTTCAATTTTTTCTTTTTGATTTTTTTTTTCTTTTTGGGTGGGGGACTAGGCAAGGACGGGCCAATGCCCATGCTCTTAGAGGTTTTGGTTAACAAAACTAGGCAGCAGTTGTTAAAAGATATTCTGTTCAAACTTTAAAGAGTGGCTAGATCTGCTTGTTTTGGTGGTTTTAACAAAGAAGATGAATCCGATCTGTTAGATTCCAGGTGTGGGTTGTGTAAAACGTCGTCTTGCTCCCAAACGTAGATCTGGTAGCAGCTCGTGTGCTTGTATTCGTTTTTTCCGCCAGGAGAGTCTAGACGTGAGCTCCAACCTTTAGCCCTCTGCTTGCTATTTACCCCTTCAGCGTATTTGTTCTCTATTTACGTCTATTGCTTGTCGGGTTTTGAAGTCCTTGTTCTTGGTTTCGAGAGATTGGCTCTCTTTATGATAGGAGGAGGTTGAGTTTATCATTGGTTTGGCCATAGGTATCCTTGGTAAACCACATTCATTGGTTTCTTTTAAGAAGAAGTCGCTTTGCTTCCTTGGGATCTATCTTTTTCAGTTTTAATTCATGTTGCTTTCTAGCTTAGTGTTAGGTTTAGACCGCTTTCAAGTTGTGTTTAAAAGTTCTGATTTGTATTTCTAGTTTGTGGTGTCTCCTTTGTTTGGAGTTTAGTTAGTTTTTGGGAAAATCTTGTCTTCCTCGGGCCTTTGTCTCCGAGGAAATTTATGTTATCCGCCAGATTTAGTCTCCCTTTTTTGGGCATTTGTATTCAGGGCCGGTTCTAGGATATTAGAGGCCTATATCAATTTTTACATATGGTTTTTCATAAGATATATAAACTATACATAATATCATATAGAAATTAAAAATATAGAAAGTAATAATAATGCACCATTTGAAGGATCAAACTCACTCACTCTAACACATATAGAGGTTACATAACAATTTTCCTAGGAACTACTTGTTCAGTAAATCAAATAATTGGTATATATAATGTGGCCTAAAGCACATGTTTTAGCTGCCCATATGGACGGGCCGGGCCTGTTTGTATTCTACCTTGATTCCACAATAAGTTTATATATAAAATTGCAGTGAATAAACAAAACAAAATGAGGAAAGAGAGTATTAAAAGAAATTATTATGTGGAAAAAGAAATTGTGTAACTAAGTAGTTACGCTTATATACATTTATTTCGAAAATTCTAAAGATATGTTTGAAATTCTAGTCACGAGGGCTTCAATTTGATATATTACTTTCCCAAATTTTACAAACGTGATAGGAGCGAAAACGGGCTATATTGCGTATTTATTTTAACTTTGCGGGATTGACTTGCATTTTTTTGGATGTGGATGGTAAACTTGCAAAATATGGCGACTTAAACGGAAATATTTACATAAATCTAACAGTTAAACGGATTAGAATATGCTACATTTTTTTTTGTAGTGTAGTTGATTGCGGTGAATCATATATTTGTGTAATAAGTTTAGATAAAATAGTAAAAGGAAAAAAAACGAGTAAATGATAATATACTGAGTATTGATACAATAGAGAAAAAAAAATGAAAATTTAACAGGACGAAAGACTATGTATCGAAAGATTATTCAATTTGACTATTTTTGTAGCAGAAGTAAGAATATACGTAAAAGTTACATACTTATAATACAGTTTTTGAAGGACTAACCCATAACATATTTCATTTTCTAAAAACATTATTAATATCTCGCTCTACCAATATAATTGTGAGTTTAGCAAACTAACCCGTGAACTACCTAAAATTTACATTGTTTGATATATAATATATTTTATCAATAAAATGTATATCTCCAAAATTACATCTATGTCTCCAAAAAAATTTCTAATATTTTAAGTTCTATTTTTTTTTTATATTTGAACCTTTTAGATTTTCAATATTCTAATATTTGAACCTTTTAATTATAATATTTTGAACTTTTAAATTTTATATGCTTAAATATAAATGGTTATAATATTGTTCATACTTATAATGATTTAAAACCATCGTCCAAACTATTCAACCAAGTGTAGTTGAGTATGATATGTCCCTTTTGAAAAATTCAAATTGCAAAATATGCAAAAAAAAATTAAACTTTTATTAAATTTTTTAATTATATAGTATAATATCATAAATTAAAAATAAGATCAAATAAAGGTGAAAGAAGAATAATAAATTTTAAATATATTATATTGAATTAGTTAGAGAAGTATTAGAAAATCCTAAAATTAGTTATGGAAATATAATCCTAAACTTAGAGAAAATTATATTCTCTGCCATGAACAGTGCTATTTCTTGTAAGAACTGCCACTTTCCATTCAATCTTCTCTACAATGCCATAGGACCCACTTTTAATTCATTAAAATGACAATTTTATCTTTAACTAAAACATTCTCTCTTTTCTTTCATTTCTCATCTCTTTTTCTCTATTCTTCTTCCATCTTCTCTTACTTTCTTCGACAACAAATCTCTCTACAATTCCGGCGGACTAATTCCGGCGAACTAGTTCCGGCAGACCATAACCAGTTCCGGCAGACCATAACCAGTTCGACGGACAAGATCCCACGGACAAGATTCGACAGACCAATTTCGATGGACCATAACCAGTTTCGTAGCATAACCAGTTTTGGCGGACCAGTGCCATGAGATCTGATGGACCAACAATTCCTGGGGACCATATCCGGCAAACTAGTTCCGACAGACGAGATACCGATGGACAAGATCTGGTGGACCGGAATCGGTAAACCGAACTTGTCTATCCTACATATCTCTTGAAACCACAAATAATTAAGTAGAAAATGAAACAAATGATGCATTTATGGAAGATATCCATCAACGTTCTATCTAGGTGTACACTTTGAATCACACATTTGTGTGTAGATAGACTAGATCCGGTGGACTAGATCTGGTGGACCATATCCGATGTCTGTAATATGTCCGTTTTTGTTTCCTAATTTATTGTCCATCATACGTATATAGTAAAGTAAATCTAGTTTTTCATAAACGAACTTGTCCACAATACATGTGTTAGATGAATAGAAAAGAAAATTGTCTATGATTGAGTGTGGACAAAATTTTTTTGTCTATTGATTAATGTCTATAATTAATGTTACAGCTGTCAAAATGTCACATCTCAAGTCAGCTTTTTTGTCTTTTTTTTCCAGGGTATTTTTGTTTTTTGGAACCATATCATTTATACTAATATGGCACTAAATAAAATACTAGAAAAGAAATGACACTCTCAATTTTTTTAGTTAAAAAAGTGGCATAACTAATAATATTTCCCTAAACTTATATATGGAAAGTATCCAATTTATGTATCAAAATCCAATTAAACATCTAATTATTGAAGTATCCAATTATTAAAATCAGGTTAATATTTTAATTTTTATCCGATCCATATTCAATTTTGTATTTTTATTTTACTAATATGAAAATCGTTTTCGAACTAATCCCAGTTAAATATCTAACAAGTTTATAATGTATCTGCATAGCCCATTAGTAAAAAGAGTCTTTAATATTGATAAGAAGATGCCTCTAGCGTTATCCCAAATGACATCACTTCACGCTACGCCGACGAGCCTCACGACGCTTCGCCACTGTTCTCACCGCACAAAGCTAACGTGCGCTGCTACATTATCACCTCCGCCATGGAAACAGAGCCGCCGAGTCATCTCCGTCTCCTTCTTCCTCTCCCGTCTCCTCCTCTTCCCTAACGGTACACATCCTTCTCTCTCTCTCTTTTCGATTTCAACAATTCAATTGGAAAAATCATTGATTCGAGTATTTGTGATGATGATGATGATCAGATGCTATGGCTGGTAGCTTAATTGATAAATATGTGAAGAGGTAAATTTGAAATCTTCTCTAAAGCTTTTTGGTATCTGAAGTTGGGATTTTGAAATGTTTGTGTGAAGTATAGGAAAAAACTTGATCCACTTGAAGCATATGTACCACCAGTGATTCTAGCTCAGCTACAGATTCAGGATCTTGGTAAGTTTTGCTACACATTTGTATTTTAATTAGTCTTTGTTGTATAGTTAACATTGGTGTTGTATGTTTATGGTGTTGGAGAGGGGTTTTTGAATGAGGAGAAACCTGAATTCGAGGCGTGTAGACGCCAATTGCGGTCTGGTCCTGCTAGTTCTTTGCGTGTGAACATTCGAGCTGTGAGTTTGAAGTTCAGTTGATGTTATCCGCAATCTTGTTTTTGTATATGTTTGGTGATGAAATGTGTAATGGAAACTCTCTCAGGTTGCTCAGTATGCTTCAGATGATGGGTTTTCCAAAACTGCGACTGATGATGTTGATCGTTGTTTAAGGTATTGATGTTTCTCGGTTGGGTTTAAGATTATACACAACAGATGATGACCTTTGCGTGTGTAGTTATGTTGGGGGTTTTTGTTTTGTTTTCTGGGGGTGTAAAGAGCATTGGAAGAACTGGATTCGTTGTTTTTACGAGCGTCTAGGAAAGATTCAAAGGCAACTGTTGAGTTGATGAAGTCGCAGCTTGGAACAGCGTTAACCGCTCTGGACAGGTAATTACTAAATAGTTCATACAGACATACACATCGTACTCATAGGAGAACGTTTTCTAACCGAGAAGAACTTGCAGCCTACTACAAACGGTTCCTTCTCAAGTGCTTGATAGAGGGAAAGCAATGGTGGAAGTCTACAGATCAGCGTCTGAACAAGATGCAGATGTTTCAGACTCCTCGGAGATACAGCAGCTCCAGTCCATACTGTGACTGACATCTCCACATAGACTCTTACTACCCCAATACAGTTGTTGATCTTACAACTTTGGTATCAAACTCTTCTGATTTTATGTATATTTTGTATCCGTGTAAAACATTTGCATATATTCAAACCTGAAAAGTCAGCAACATGACATGATCCACACACTTACCAGTGCAGCAGTAAACAGCTTATTTCGCTATATGACGATGACACATTCATATTTCTCTATCAACTGATAACCCTTTCATAGAAGAAACTGCAACAGCCAACTTCATTGTCTCTAGCAACAAGCCAAAACAACTAAGATGTAAAAGTCAAAATCGTAAGAGTTATACTCAATTTTTATTTCTCCAAAAGCAGGACTGCATGAGTTGTTTAAATCCAATGTTAAGTTTGTGTCGTTAACATTAAAATTGTATTGACTACTATGAGAATCTTGTAATAGATCTCCAATTGAGATTATTATGAAAGATAAAAGAGACTAAAGAGTAAAGAGTAATATAGAATGCTAAAATCCACCTAACATATCCAAACCTCTATGGCTTCTGCACTAAATATCATAAATAAATGAAGTTTTTGAAATACATTTATTCTATGTCTTCCCATAACTTGACGATCTGAGTTTCCAAGTCTGAAGCCAAAACAGAGTCCATTCCTGTACCAGATGCAATGCCCAAAGTTGTCACCTTACAAGCTTGTGTGGGCTAAGGAGAAATGGAAACTCCTTGAGCTTCGTCTTCTGCAGTGTGCTATCATTGTTGATCCGTTGTGCTTAAAAATCAGAATCATACAAACATACCAAACTTGAATGGGAATTGGGCGTTCGACAAAGTGGACATTCTTGCTTCTCATTGCACCACTCCATAATGCAGCTCCTGCACATGATAGATGATTCTTTTAAACATGAGCACAATGTTTTCGTGTCCATTTCGGATTGTTAATTCTGTCATTAGAGTGGATATGTGTTGTACATACAAGGTTCAACTTATCAAAGCAGTCTGAACCAATTGGACACCAAGACACTAAACTTCGGATTTTGAAACTTATTTAAGAATTAGAGGTAAGACATTGTAAATTCGTTCAAGATCATCTCTAGAACAAGAGAAACAATTACGGAAGAGGTAGGTTTATTACCAACAAAACACATGACCACAAGGAGTGGCAGTTGGGTGCTGACGGTTGCTTAAGCATAAAGTGCATTTCCCTACTGCCTGCAACCACAGTACATAGCAAGGTAATTCAAAACAAGAGAAAAATAACCCCATATGGATTTTTAATTCAGACAAGCAACAGAATAGTCCCAAAGTAGGATTAACATATAACCTTGTCTCACTAGAAACTATATGTAGAGCAAGATCAGTCGGGTGACTATCTACCCTTATCAGATATCATGAAACTAAACTACCATTTTTTTTTTCTTGATTACACTTATACAAAATAACATTTGCGTAAGCGAATGGATTATGCTAAAAGGGTGTGCCTCGCTTTCAAGTATATACCTTTTGTTCGTTTCCAACAATGATCACTATTCAGGATACTAGCCATTTAAACGTAACAGAGGTTTCTAACTTGTTTATAATTAATTTACCTCCGTAGTTGAAGCTGAATCAGAGGTGGACCAGTTTCCCTTTTCAGCTTCTGAAGTTATCAAATTTCCGTCTTCGTTTAAAACAGGTAACCCTCTTCCTGCAGGAACAATACCAAAACTATATTTGTGATTAATGTGAAATAAGGTTGATGCATAACATGCAAAATATCTCAGCCTATGTTATTATCGTCTCTTACATTGCTCTCTAAAAGCTTTTACTGTGGTGCCAATTCAGATCGTAATTTATTGAAATTTTAATATTGACAATTCAACATATACAGCCTCCACGAATATTGTAACTGTTAGGAATTTCTAGATCGCTAAAATTCATAATCAAAGACATAGAGCCAGACCTCCTGAAGTTTGATAAGATCCTATAGATGCCTGCTGAACTGAGCTTGCGATAGATGATAAATTACTCCGACGCAATCCCTCAGCAGCAAGGATACACAATTGTACTAGAAGGAAAACCCCAAGAATTTGGTATCTGTTCAGCAAGACTTAAGGGAGTTCAGTTACTCCGTGATAGTAAAAATCGACAGCTGTAGGTGGAAGAAGACAGAAAGACCATTACCTAGGTCTCTGATTCAGTTGCTTTCCAATGAAAACATAACGAATCCCGGATGCACGTTTCGATATATGGTAATACAAACCTGAAAAGAAACAAATATTACCAGTTCAGAACATTATAAAACCAGTCTGCACAGTCTCTACAACTGTTAAAAATTTCTAACAAAGTTCACCTTCAAAGTAGAACAGCATCAAATTGGCACGCAGAACCAGTTGTAAGACTTCGCGAGCAACAGGGAGAACCTGAAAGCACAACCTTAAATAAAATCATTGCTAGCCAGAAAAAAACAAACTGAACCATGAAAATTAACACCTAAGAGGTATACATTACCACAGGCCATCTCTGAATAGCTCGGTGCCAAAATCTCTTAACTCTATCTTTTAACCTAGATACTACAGAAGCCGAAGTTTCAAGTTGAGAAGAAGATGAAAGATCTATCATTGACAATGACTGGTCATGACTACCACTCTCCCGGGAACTACCACCAAAAAACTCATCAGACTCATCAAAGGTAACTGCTTGCGTCGCAGCTCGAGTACTGCAAACAATTACATTCATTTCAGCAATACTTCACTCACAAGGGTCAAATCTTCCATCATAAACAACAATCAGAAAATTCAATGAAAACCTTATTCTCTCTACAATATAAGGAACTGCAGTCTGGTACAAAATGAACAAAGCACGCCTAGCTGGTGTAGGCGACAGTCCATAAGGTCCTGAAACCTAAATTAGCCCTTTCAACATCAGTAAAATATCCAATCTATTGATCTTCTAGTAACAGATTTTAATATTTTGTTCTCCTAAGCATAATTACAACTAGAATACTGAGAACATAGCCTCCGAAGGCAAATTGGGTTTGTGTAAGCATAAGAAACCTGTATAATGTCACAGTACTCCTCTCCTAAAGTTTGCTGCCCTGAGCCTGTGGTTAGAACATAGTAAAGCATCTGCCCAAGAAGCTTCATCTAAACAAAAAACACCAAAAGCTCTAATCAAAAATCTCAAAGAAACCTCAAAGGAATGAATATAACTTAGTCCATGAAACTTTATGTTACCTCTTTCTGGTAAGCTAGAGCGATTCTTGTACCTAAGAGTGATCGAAATCAGTGGAAAATTTTGGAGAAATTAATGGAATTCGAAGACGATGATGGATGAAACAATTAGTACCGAAGAGGTGACGGAAGGCATCGCGGCAAGCTTCGTGGATGAAAGAAGCGTATTGATCGTCTTTCTCAGCAGCTCTCATAACCTCCGGCTGAGCTGCTAACGGGAATTGCCGGATTCCGCCGTGAAACCCGCTTGAACCGGGTTCATCCTGACCCGGACCCGAATCCCCATTAAGCATCATCGTTTCTTTTCGTGGTTCGATGGACTTGCCGAACGAATGATGTTTATTCGGTTTTTATTTTTATTTTTATCAAGTTTATTCGGTTTTTTTTTATATATTATTTTCAGATAAACTACTTTTTAACGCACAGTACACTGCATTACTATGTTTAAAATATATATATATATATATATATATATATATATATATATATATATATATATATATTTATTAATTTTGTTTAATATATAAGATTGTATTTTGATTATTAATTCTAGAAATTTTTTGAGGAATGCTCCCTTTTAGTCTACTTTTTTCAAAAATACTTCTTTGTCCATCTATTTTAAAAAATACTCTTTTTTCAAATATGAAAAATTATAATATTATATATGGTTGATAAGATAATTTAAAACAATCTAAATAAAATGTCCGGAATTACGGTATAATTATAGATTACCGTTATCTGAGTTGTAAGAAGAAGATTCATTTTCGTCACTAACATCTAAATTAGACATTTTGGGAGCATTGGCAATGTTAATTGGTTTTGATGACACTCAGTTGACTTTCTCTATGTTTAAGTAGGCATGTCAATCGGGCTGTCTCGGCCCGGTCCTTATATATTTAAGCCCGGCCCGGCCAGATCCGAAAAATATTTGGGCCTATATTTCAAAGCCCGGCCCTGCCCTAACTGGGCTACAGGGCTTTTTAGCTTTTTCGGGCTTTTCTTGAAAATAAAACTGACTTCAAATTTTATATATTTTTTTGTTGAAAATGACTGAAACAATTCAATTTAAATATAAGTAACCACTAATATTTATTTAAACTCACTTTATTTTAAAAGAATAAAGTTTTTTTATTGCTGAAATTAAAAAAAAAATATTTCAAAAGTAAACAAATCCAAACAAAAGTGTTTAAACTCATACCAAATAAAACACAAATCAAAAAGACTTCAAATTAGGTATTAGAGCCAAGATTTGGCTCTCCTTCAAAGCCTTCAGAATTCTCCTCCCCTTCAGTGTCTTCTAAATCTTTCTCATCATTAAGAGCTATATACAAACATTTAACTTATGTTTATAATGAATTTTGACATGTATAAATCAATAAAATATCATATATAGTTTTTTAAAATTAAAAAAATTAAATAATTACAAATGACATTATTACCTGGATCATCATACGTAAATCCATCCAACCAAGTCCGTGTACAAACCAGTGCTACAACGTGTCTTGGTAGAAGACGACTTCTATATTTATTCAAGACATGCGCACCAATACTAAATGAAGACTCTGCTGTCACTGAAGTTATAGGAATACTCAAAACATTACAAGCCATACGAGCTAGCTCCCCATAACGTTGTGTTTGATTCTTCCACCATTCTAAAACATCCATGTCTTCATAAAAGGTCATTTCCAACCTATCGTCTTCTAAATACACAACCAATTTATACTAGGCATGACCAAAAGCTAACCTTAACCGTATTTTTAACCGTAACCGGACCGTTTATCAACCGTAACCGGACCGTAACCGTATAAAACGGTTAAAAATTGTAACCGGTTAAAAAATAATAATAACCGTAACCGTTAATTAACCGTTACCATAATTAACCGTAATTAATCGTCGGTTAACCGTACGGTTAAACGCTCGGTTAACCGTACGGTTAAACGCTCGGTTAACCGCATATTTAAAATTTTAAAATAAATTATATTATAACTGTATACAATACCCAGATTTAACTAATTCACTATAAATAATTGAAATCAAATATGTTTTTTACTTGTAAAATAAATAATATTTCATAAAACTTTATCTCCAATATTAATATTATAATAATCATCAAATAACCGTAACCGTATTTAACCGTAACCGTAATTAACCGTAACCGTATATAACCGTAACCGTCTTAACCGTATATATAATGATTAAGGTTATGGTTAAAAAATTATAACCGTTAACCGGTGGTTAATTAACCATAACCGCATTAACCGTAACCGTGGTCATGCCTAATTTAGACTTTCCTTCTTCTAGAATAGTACGTTTCTCATATGCTTTGAAATCCTATTATTGACAAACCAAAATAAATAAAACTCTAGTAATCAAATGGTTAAATTAAAACCAAATATATAAAGAAAGAATCTAGTAATCAGATGGTTAAATAGTTTAAGAGCAACAAATAAAAATGTCAGATATCATTTCACCGCTACTATGAGGACACTAATATAATAGTAAATAACATAATAGGATAAATATTTACATACATGTAGAAACATCCGGCGTTAATTTATTTGCGCTAGGTGGACATAATGGAACCTCTTTATCGATATGTATAGTACTATTTGTAATATTAGTAATATCTGAAAGTGTACCATTGTATCATGACATTTGGTTGTAGGTAGGAGAGTAAAAGTTTTGATGAAGCTAATCTAAGAAAAAAATTGAACAAAATATAAATTTAATGATACGTCAGAAAAATAATTAAAGGCTAATTTTAACTGTACCTAAACTGATGCAGATTTGTAGGGCTAATTTTTTATATTTGTTAGTCTCGGATAGGATTCAATGGCAAACGATTTACCATTAACTGATAACGATTGGTTGGATTCCTACAGACTGTGACAAGCTTCCCAAGTTCTGAACCTTTTTCTCTTACGACTTTGTAAGAGTTATATCAATACTATTAAACGAAACAGTAAGAATGTCAGTGAATGCCTATATACGGAATATAACATGCTTATGTCTGAAAATAATTCATCATTGGTTAAGATAGCTAGGTTTTCCTTCTCCATGATATACTGGTGGTCAATAGGTAGTGTAGAAGTTGGTGTTCGATAAACAATACCTAACTGAAAGAGAAATACGTAAATGAGTTTGAGAAAATGATTATAAATTAAAATTTCTTAATCTCTTAATGAAATACATTTGTAGTTAACACTTGTATTAGAAGGAGGAGAGATAACTGAATGTTGACGATTTGTAATATCACTAGATTTTAACCCGCGGTACACCGCGGGATAAATATTTTCTTTGTAATTCATGTCTTTAAAAATTGATAGATTTTATTTCAGTTTATTTAATAATTATCAAAATTGCATAATATCAAACTTTATTAAATCAGTTCAATTATACATGTGTTTATATCGGTGTTGTTAAAAAAATAGTAAAATGATCCGTACTAAACTGTGAGATTAATAATATTATTTTTCTTTTGTAATATCCACTTAAACATGTTCCGTCTTACAACCCGTAACATGTTAAAAAAATGGAAAATTCAATAATATTTTTGTTTAAACTTGGTGTAGAGCTAAATACTAATAACACTGAGAATTTTTAAAATTTTCAAAATATATTAAATTTTCTATGTACTTAATAATCAATCCCGTCTTAAAACCCGTCCTGTCATTTATTCCCCCAAAAATTAAACCCATGTTTATATTCCCTTCATTTGTAGTTGCAAGGTTATAATCTTATTTATAAGGATTCTGAACTATTATCAAAAAAATTCTACTCAAAATAAGATCATATAAAAATTTTGAAGAAATTTTGAGAAAATGCAGAAAATAATAAATGATATTATATTTATTAGGGAGAGATTTTAGGGATTTTGTTAAAAATGATTATTATTAGTTTTCAAAATTTTAACTAAATAATTAATGCCAATGGCATAGCGTTGTAAATAACTTTCAACTCTAAAGTTTTGTTTTTCAAAAAGTGCTGCAAAAATGTTATTATAGATTTGCCAATTTTAAAAAAAATTGTTGGTACTATTTAAATTCATTTATAGAAATTTTGAAATAAATTTCGTTTTTTTTTAAAATTGCATCATACAAATAATTAGAAGATTATTTATGTATTATTTATATATATGATTAAAAATTACTGTTAAGATTTTTTTTAAATGTTTTTGTTAATAGATCAAATTAGATAGATTTGAGGAGAATGAAATTAGGGATTTTTTTCTGATTTAATCGTTTGTTGATGTGTATCTGATTTTTTTTGTTTCTAAAATTAGGGAGAAATTCAATTAATGTGAATGGCAATGGCTTGTAAATAAGTTCTAACTCCATGGTTTTTTTTACAAAACTGCTGCAAAAATGTTAATATAGATTAAGAACTCTTTAGAATACTGACTTGACGGTTACAACGGAATTGTGTGAGTTTGAACTAAATTGCCTTGGCGACTTATGTTCTTTCCCACATCATTTTCTTTGAATAGTTGTGGTTTCATTATCCTTTCTTGTAAGGTAGTTCTTAAGTAAGGTAGGACTCGGTGTCCTATAACCAATACATATTGACAACCAAAGAAGGGTTATTATGTTCGCAAAATATATCAACATAATTCAATTGTTAAACAATCGTAAATAGATATTTTTACCTGAATTAGAAATAGAAGAGCTAACTAAAGATTGGCGATTAGTAATATCATTTAAAACTCTTGGATAATAAGATTTCACATTGCCTCCGGAACTGGTTATGTTTGAGCACATCGGGCTAGGAATTATATTCTCATTTCCACAAACATTTGTAGACAACATCCTGTTTTTGGGTTGTTTAGAAATGTTAATTGAAAGATTTTCGTTGGCTTCTTTTCTCTTCTTCATAGTGAGAACTTCATAGGGTTTAATATTAAGGAATAAGAAAATATTGTCGCTTGGGGTAATCACGACTTATTTATTTGTAGGATACCTTTAATTTTGGTATCTAATAATAACGACTAAGATTTGATTGAAGATTATCTCCAGTCCTTGATTTAATTTATTAAATGCAAACATTTAGAAGCAAAAATCTCAGAAAAATCAGTACATTACCTGAAGAAGATCTCGTCATCCTCCTCTTGAGATAGCTCTGATCTACGTGAAGTACCGTCAGAAGTCTCATCATTCTCGAGTGCAGCCAACGTAGCTTCCTTGTTCTTCTTATATTCCTCATGGACTTCTTGAGCTTTCTCATCAACAAAGGTTCCATCCTTTTTGGTTTGAGTCCTGATAAAAACTTCACCAATAGTTGGAGGTCTTCCCAATTCCACTTCCTGAAATGTTAAAACAATGT